GAGGCTTGCATATCTGTAGGATTTCTTGTCGGAGTGACTACTCCGTGCGCCGACAGGGACACTCCCAGACTTCTGGCCTTCGAGCCTCGTTGCTTTCAGGTGTTGTTCTCATTAAGCATCCTTTGGTACCGCTAAAGAAGTTAGGAAAATAGGCTGGAAATCTAAAGCCGACGTATTGAGTTCCTGCTTGTGTGGCTTTGAGGAGGGAGAAACAAAGCTAGGAGAGGTCGCGAGCGTTTTGAAGGAGAATTTGAGTAGGGTGAGGGAAGCCAGGGGCAGGAGCGCTCTGGCAAGCGGAGCTGTGTGCTGAGGTTCTGTTCTGTGTGTCGGCTTCAGGGAACCCGGCGGAGGACGTGTGTTCTAACTGTACACTGGCGCATGTGTATTTTGTAGCTATGTCACGCATCTCATGAAGCGCATTCAGAGAGGCCCGGTGAGAGGCATCTCCATCAAGCTGCAGGAGGAGGAGCGAGAAAGGAGAGATAATTATGTTCCGGAGGTAAACATCTGGGTCTTGCTGGACCTCTGGCTCTGCCTGAAACTGATTAAGTGGGTGGCAGGGAGGGGCTCAAGGAAAACATTTAACAGACATAAGAACAAAAGGATGTATGTGGTGGTATCTTTTGACTGGAGTGATGTGCAATGCGTGTATGCTTTAAAAAGGCATATGGTGGGGACCAGCAGGTGGCGTTGTGGTTAAAGACGCTGGATTCCCACATGGCTGACCATGGTTCGAGTCCTGGACCTGACGGCTTGCTTTCTCTCTCTTCTCTTGCTTGCTTTCTCTGCTCAAGTTAAAAAAATAGTAAGCGGAATTAAATATATGATTCTTATTTAAAAAGAATTGTGTGCTGTAAAGATATACAATTATTACATTTTAAAAATTAAAAGAACGTTACTCGGCAAACAAATGTACCCAAAGAATGTGACAAATCACCTTCCCTCCCAGGGGATGTGACCAAGCTGCAGTCCCTTCATTCTCCTGGGATTCTGGGTACATGCGCACGTGTGCCTGCCATGATTTTCAAGCCACTGGATCTGGGACTTGAAGAGTGGTCATCTACGGGAACCAGCAGTTAGTGTAATGGCTATGTTGCTGGACTCCCACGTAGTCGACCACGGTTCGTGTCCCGGACCCAGTGGCTTAAAAAACTCACGCCGGGCGCGTGTGCGTGCGTGCCCAAGATCCCGAGAGGAGAATGGAGGAGAAGGGATTGCAGCGTGACCATCCCCCCTGGGGGGTGATTTCTCGCTTTCTGTCTCTATGTCTCTCTCTGTCTGGCAAGCGCACGCGCCCTACAGTGAAAATCTCTCCAAAAAAAAATTAAAAAAAAAAAAAGAGTGGTCATCTATCAGGGAGTCCAGCACCATAACCACTATGCCACTTGCTGGCCCCCAGACCAAAGTTTTTTAAAAGTTAAAAACAAAACAAAAAAAACCCCTGTCTTCCAAAGGGACCACAGCCAGGTCTGATAAACTCTTTTTTCTCCACGTACCCCTAAACCAGCTGTCGGTGGTGGTAATCAGCCCTCCTGTTAGCCTCCATTCTATCCTGTTGGGGCTAGTTAAGTCCTTTCTGTTTTGGGGGGGGGGGATTGCTATAGGGCGTGTGCACTTGTCAGAAAGACAGAGACAGAAGGCCAGAAATCACCCCCCCTGGGGGGATGGCCACGCCGCAAATCCCTTCTCTATTCTCCTCTCAGGATCTTGGGCATGCATGCACACGGGCCCGGCGTGAGTTTAAGCCACCAGGTCCGGGACTTGAACTACGGTCGACTATGTGGGGGTACAGCGACAGCCATTATGCTAACTGCTGGTCCCAGTCTATTCTGTTTTCCACATGAGAGTCTTAATGTTTGATGGCTATCAAATATTTAATTGTAATGTCTCCTGGTTCACTTGCTCCAGTGACGTGTTCGTGTAAACCTAGTCTGAGGACCAGCAGATGGCATAATGGTTATGTTGCTGGACTCCAGCCCCTTAAAACTCCCAGGCCCAATGACTAAAAACTCCCGCTGGATGCTTGTGCATGAGTGCCCAAGATCCCGAGAGGAGAATGGAGGAGGGATTGCCACTGGGCCATTCCCCCCCTGGGGAGGATTGATTTCTCACTTTCCGTCTCTGTCTCTTCAGAGAATGCATGCACCCTATAGAGGAAAAAAAAACCTCAAAAATAAAAAACCTAGTCTGAAGTTTTTCTGAATACTGGCTAGGTAATAAAGGGTATAAAAAGGTAGAGCCGTAAAGATGGGTCATTGAGTTCTTTATTACTGTAACAGGCTGCTCACTCGCCGAGATTCTATCCTAACCTCCTATCCACCCCATCCCTCGTATTTTTTTTCCGTCCTCTCATATATCTGAGGAAAGAAGCAAAGCAAGTGTGTGGTAGACACTGATATTCTGGGCCTGTCTTTTAGGTCTCAGCCCTGGATCAAGAAATCATTGAGGTGGACCCTGACACTAAGGAAATGCTGAAGCTCTTGGTAAGTGCTGGCCGGGTTCCCACTGGGCACCCTTTCTACGCTGCTAAACACCAAACTGGACTGCTTTCCAAATGGGGTCACCTGGTGATTGGAGGCTGTAGGCTTTGGGATTGTTGGCTACAGGTTGTAATGTCCAAGCCGAATGGCCTCTTGGGTCTCTGGCTGGTACTGCCCCCTCTGCTCCATCCCTGGCTCATCGCAGCAAGTTACCAGAATAGCTGCTGACGTCTAGATAGGGCCTGGGGTGCTGCTCGACGTCATACAACATACAGGACGGCCCCCTGTAACAGAACGACCAGCCCACGGTGCTGGATAGTACCAGGATTGAGAAGCCTGTCATTTAAAGTGATAGGAAGAGTTCGTGAAAACAAGAGAAACAGCGTGGTGGGCTGGGTGAGAAAAGTAAAGATGGCGGTACGAGCAGAAACAGCATGAAGTAAGGTGTGTGTCAGAGAATAACTCCTGGGAAGCACGAGGCATTGCCACCTGTTAAGGCCCCGAGGGCTGACTGTTGGAGATGATTGTTCTCATTCCCTCACCTGTGAGTGTTACCTTCCAAGATCCTGTTTCTGCTGGGTCCCACCGGCCTGCCCCCAAGCTGCTGAGCCTGGCAAGCGCCATTTGACAGTGGTGCTGGTACGCCGCCGCAGATCTTAGCACCACACTCACTGAATCCATTCTGTTCCAGGACTTCGACAGCCTGTCCAACCTGCAGGTCACGCAGCCTACAGTTGGAATGAATTTCAAAACCCCACGTGGAGCCGTTTGAATCTTTCTGCTATGCCGTACTATTTTCAATAAACCTGGGACAACAATCTTGTCTGTGTCATCTGTGCAGTTGGGTGGTTGGGGCTAAGGGCAGGAGTTCTCTCGGGCACACAAAAGCTGACCAGCCCTCCTGGTAGTTGTTGGGATTTGGGGGAGCTACCCCATGTGGTTGTGGGGAGTGGGTTGCACAACCAAGAGCCTGGCCCACCTAGCTTGCTCTCCAGTTAGTGAGGTCCGAGTTTGTGCAGGGTTTAGAGAATTCCTGGTGTGGTCAGGGTTGTGGGCCTACAGAAGCCACTTTGCTGCCATCTCTCCCTTCCTGGTCTTGGCTGGCCCTGGACATGAACCTTGGTCTCAGAAGTCAAGATCTCACCTTACACAGTTTTGGGATCATTCTTCTTCAGGTGCACAAGATCAGGGCCACCCCTCCCACCTTGAGAAGGTATTGTGAGTCGTTGAGATAATACCTGGGGCACTGGAGGTTCTCAGCAACTGAGGATGTGTGGGGAGGGAGCTGGATTGCTTGCTCTTGGCCCAGCTGTGATCACTCCTGCTGCCTGGGAGGGACCATCCCTTTGCTCAGGCAAACTAAGCTTTGTGTGTCTTCCAAGAGCACAGGGAAGGGCAGGGTTGGGGTCTGAACTAGACCAGGCTGGCTCAAGCTCTGACTTGCTGCTATTGCATATCTACTGTCAACAGATCCATCAATAAACTTTTTCCCTTTTTTTTTTAGGGGTCTTTATGATGCTGATCATATATATATATTTTTGGAGAGGTTTTTGCTATAGGGTGCGTGTGCTTGCCAGAGAGAGAAAGCAAGAAATCACCCCCCAAGGGGGGTAGCCATGCTGCAATCCCTTCATTCTCTCGCGATCTTGGGCACACACGCATACACACCCGGTGTGAGTTTAAGCCACCAGGTCCGGGACTCAAACCATGATCGACTACATGGAAGTCCAGCAACATAGCCATTACACTAATTGCTGGTCCCCAGATCATACTTTTTTGGGGGGGGGGAGAGATTTTCACTGTAGGGCGTGTGCGCTCGCCAGACAGAGACAGAAAGCGAGAAATCACCCCCCAGGGGGGATGGTCACACCACAATCCCTTCTCCATCATTCTCGGGATCTTGGGCACGCATGCACACGCGCCCGGCGTGAGCTTTAAGCCACCGGGTCCGGGACGCGAACCGCAGTCGACTACATGGGAGCCCAGCGCCAGCCATTATGCTAACTGCTGGTTCCCCCCAGATCATACTTTTGAAAATGTATTTTGTCCCCTTGGTAATTCCAAGTTTATAGTGAAGTGGCAAAAATAGTACAAGGAAGGCAACTGTCCTGCACTGAGGTTGCTGATTGGCTTTTATTTTACCCAGTTTATTTGGGGGGTTCTCAAAGCATGTTTATTGGTCTGATCGCAAGTGCCCATGTACTACAGTGGCCTTGGATTTTCACTGTTGCATGGTTCAGAGTCTGAGAGACCAGCTTCCAATTCAAGGCAGTCACTCAGTTTTCCTGTCCTTTTCTCATTTTTAAACTTTTCAAAATATCTATTTAATTTCATTTGTTATTTAATTTGAGCAGAGAGACAGATGGAGAGAAAGGGAAAATGAGAAAGCAAGCCAGGTCAGGGATTCAAACTGAGGTTGGCCATGTGGGAATCCAGTGCCTTTAACCACCATGCCACCTGCCGGCCCTATTGGGTGTCTAATTTTTTATGGGACAGTTTTGTAGAACATCCTTTAATTCGGGCTTACTTGACGTTTCCTTGAGACTAAACTTCAGCTATTTTTGTAGGAAACGGAGCGGATGCTGTGTTCTTGGTGCATCATAATGAGAGGCTCGATTTTTTTTTTTTTAATATTGCCAGAGGTCGCTAGCTCTTACCACTGTGACAGGGAGGGAGGGAAAAAAGCGCCCGGAGTGGAGCGTGGTCATGCAAAAATATTTCTCCATCCTGTTATTCTGGGCACACAAGCACTGAGGATTTGAAACGCGGCCATGCCAGATCGAGTACTGTCCACCACTTGGCAACAGGACCAGCCCAAGGCGTGGCATTTCAGCTTGTCACAATTTCAGTGTTGCTTGCTTTCAGCACGTGGGTTAGGCGCCCCCCGGATTTCTCCAGTGGAAACTTTCCTCCCTTGTGATCGGTCAGTTGTGAGGGCACAGGCTGAGGCTAAATATTGTGTTCCTCAACTTTTGCCCACGAGTTTTAGCGTCTATTGAAACCGTAACCCCATCTTCCTTTTGTATGTTTTAGTTACTGCTTCACGGTAAAGAATAGATTTCTCTCATTCACAACAAACCGTGCATTTTTTTGGTGTGGGACCAGGCGGTCTCAGCAACCACTGTCGTCTTTTCGAGGCAGCCCTGCATCAAGGCGCCTCCCGGTCCTGCCCAAGACCGACGTGGCGGCCAGGCAAGGGTTGGTTTTGTGTGTGTGGGGAGAGGTGGAGCTGGATTAAGGAAATGACCCATAGAATGTGAAACAGGGCTGTGATTTCTGCCACACTCCCCCACTAGGAGGCAGTGTCGTTCTTCTCAGCTCGTCCAGCTCTCTGCTGTGCGCGGTTTCCCGGGTGTGCTGCTTAGACAGCTGGGGAGGTGGGGGGAGAAGAAGGTGCACGCGAGCCCCATTAAACAGCTGTCACCAGTTCAGCAGCGCTGAGGAGTCTCTCCGCTTTAGTCTTCACATCCATAAAACGAGACTAGTAAGGGTGCTCAGTAGAACCACCTGCGGACCTCGGTAAGTACGCAAGGCCCAGCGTCCCCGGCTGGGATTGGTGCTTCGGGAGTGGGGCGGGCCCAGCGCAGGTGCTGCCGGTCGCTGGTGTTGGAAGATGCTGAGCGGCAGAGACGCCGTCGGTTCTCCCTGGGCTGCGGTCCCTCCCGGAGACCCTGGGGCAGAGTAATACCCTTGGAGTAAAATAGACTGGATGCCTTCGGTGTCTTGGGACACTCTGCTCCTTGAAGACTGAAAACGACCCAGGAACTCTTGGAGGTAACTTTTTTCTTACGTTATTTTAAACAAAAGTGGAACAACGCGTGCAGATAGGTAGAAAGCGAACACATGTTAAAGGCTTTTTTAAAGCGTGATGAGAAAACCGAAAACGTATTAACAGTTTAAAAGAGAGGTCAAAGATGAATAAATATTTGGAGTAAAGGAATGTCGAAGTGAATTATAAATGGAATACCAGCTTTTGCGGCAGTGAAGGTATCAGCTGAATCTCCACCCAAGCATTTTGACCTGCATGACTTCACACAAGCACTTTTTGGATTTTTTAGCTACAATTTAAGTGTAAAATAACTCAAAGGCAATGAAAGGTGCAGAACCTCTATAGAATCCAAACTAGAACCCAGGTTATTTGCTTTATTTTTCTTTTAGCGAATATTTTTTTGATATTAAAAACAAACAAAAAACTCTTCTCTGTTTCTCTACGCTCGCCAGAGAAACAGAAAGACCGTGAGAAATCACACACACCCCTCCGCCCTGTGTGTGGGGGGCCACGCCGCAATCCCTTCTCCATTCTCCTCTTGGGATTTTTGGGCATGCACGTACACGCACCTGGTGTGAGGTTTTGTTTGTTTTTTAAAGAGGTTTCTGCTATAGGGCACATGTGTTCACCGGAAAGACAGAAACAGAAAGCGAGAAATCACGCCCCAGGGGGATGGTCACGCCGCAATCCCTTCTCCTCCATTCTCCTCTCGGGATCTTGGGCATGCATGCACACACGCCCGGTGGCACCTGGTGTGAGTTTTAAGCTGCCAGGTCCAGACCTCGAAACCAGTCGGCTCCGTGGGAGTCTAGCAATGTAGCCGTTACACCATCTGCTGGTCCCAAACCCAGGTTATTGCTTTTAACAATTCAGTCTTTAACTGACACACACATTTCCCCTGTATCTATAAATTCATATTCTTTATACTGCCTTTGTCATCAGGATTTTGATTTGGGGGACCAGCAGATGGCATAATGGTTACATCTCTGGACTCCCATATAGTCGACTGTGGTTCAAGTCTCACACCTGGCAGCCTAAAACTCACGCTGGGTGCATGTGTGTGGCCAAAATTCTGAGAGGAGGACGGAGGAAAAAGGATTGAGGTGTGGCCATTCTCCCTGGGGGTAATTTCTTGCTTTCTGTCTCTCTGGTGAGCCCTGGCACCTTATAGCAAAAACCTCTCTCTTAAAAAAAAATAAATAAATAAAAAATGTGCGAAACATAGAAAGACTTATTTGGAGAATATCAAAGTTTGCACAAATGTATTTAAAACCTGTAGCCATTTGTTATATAACTCACCAAGTATTTTGTGGAAGATATTTAAATCTATCACATTTTGTTGAACAATGAACTTCATTCACTGTTGTGGACTTTTATCAATTCCACGAATGTTGGTAGTTTTTTTAAAAGTTATGGTAGAATATAACATACTATTTGTCATTTTAACTCTTGGTAAGCAAGTCAGTGCCAATCAAATATGCTCTTGAGTGGTGTTACTGTTTGAAAGTTTTTCTTCATATCCAATAAAAACCCTGTACCCATTACATAATGACTGCCCATTCTCCTGTAGCCTCAGCCTGGGGAGACCTCTATTCTGCTTTCTGCCTCTGTGAATTCTCCTGTTTCAGGTTCCTCATGTAAGTGGAACTATCAGCTATTTGTCTTTCTGTGCCTGGCTGTTTCCATATTGTTTTTTTTTAATACTTACTTATTTCATTTATTATTATTTTTAAATTTGCTATAGGACATATGTGCTCACCAGATAGTGAGAGAAAGTGAGAGAGAAAGCCACCAGGTCCAGGACTTGAACCACGGTTGACCAGGTGGGAGCCCAGAACCTTAATCATCACACTACCTGCTGGCCCCACACAGCTGGCTTCTTTCACCAATTGTGTCTTCAGGGTCCATCCACCCTGTAGCATCTATCAAAAATCACATTCCTTTTGCGGCTAAATACTCCATTGTGTGTGTTTTTTAACACATTTGGTTTACTCATTTGTTGTTGGAGTGCTTCCACCTTTTTGGCTACTGTGAGTACTGTATGAACGTG